CCCAGAACAAATTTTGAGATAAGATGCACTACTTCCAACCCCACTGAGAATCATCAATATGACATTGCAAGAGCTGTGTCGCATCTGATACTTCAAAGCGCATATTATTACATATATCTTGAAAACGGGTATTATGGTCCGATCTACTGGTGAATTCAGGATCATTTGCAGGGTCGTATCCAGAGCTAGTTTCTGACAGTCTTCCAAATTATCTTTGTTGACCCATCCTCCAATTTTGACCGTCTTTTAACAGAAAAAATTAGATACCGTCAATGTTAACTTGAAAATCTGACCGTCTTCCAGAAGGACCAGAAGACGGCCTCAATCCGCCCCTGATTCGGTGCTGAGTCTGGTAGTTGGATAGGCCCGATTTTGAAAATTTGTCACTTCTCAAAAGTAGGTCAGTTATTTTTGAACCCTTTAAGTGAGAAATATTTCTTATGTCCATGACACAAACTCTGTACTGTATGGTGAGTCTTTGATAATATCCAAAGTTAGACAAAGAAAAACATTTAAAGATACATTAATGTTCTTTAAACATCACTTACCTAAAAGTTCATTGGAATTAACAAACACAACATGACCTAATCAGAAAAATCTCCTTTGTTGTTTTGTTTAGTGCACTTGTGACCAAGGAGTTTATTGATTACCTTGAAATTGTTTCTTTTATACACAGTACACAACATATAATATCCCAGCAGGCATAGTTGCGTTGGATCAACGTGGAAAACAGGTCGATATGTTGAATTGCCATTGATCTACCTAAATTCAAGGTTAAATCAACGTTAATCCAGCCACGTTGACTCAACGTTGTATTTTGGTCAATTGCACAACCTTGCAGTTATGGATTGTAATTTAAAATATTAATTATTGAAAACGTGATACTTTGTTTATCAATACTGTAACTAAATTTATCAAAATAATAACAAAACGGTTCTAAGTAAAAGTGACAGTTGTTTTGTGTCTTTAGTTGACAAGTGAATTTTCTTAACTTGCTATTCAGAATAAATATATTCCAATATATATATATAAGAATTTATGAGTAAAGCTTTTGATAGTGTATGGAGGAAAGGTCTCCTCTATAAATTGTTAAAACTCAATGTAGGGGGAGTGTTCTATGCCAACAATCGATCAATGTATGATCAGGCTACAGCTTGTGTAAAAACTTCCAGTGGCTTAACTGATTGTTTTCCAACGATGAAAGGTGTCAAGCAGGGAGACACTCTCAGCCCCTTTTTATTTAATATATTTGTGGATGATATGTTAAAGCTCATTGATGATGTCAAAAGCGATTCTCCCATAATAAACAACAAACCCGTCACAGGTCTCTTCTACGCGGACGATCTTGTACTGCTGTCAACTAGTGCCTCTGGTTTACAGTACAGTCTTAATCGTATTGAAGCTTACTGTTTTACATGGAGACTCTCTATAAATCTTTTAAAAAACAAAAAATATGATCTTCAATAGCAAGGGAAAGGTACAGAACAACCAGGTGCAGTGCAAAGAATTTTTTTCTCTATAACAGTCAGTTAACAATAGTTCCCAATTACATGTACCTTGATATTCTCTTTACAAGATCAGGTGGTAATTTCACAGCTGCTCAACTGAACTTATACGAAAGGGCACAGAAAGTGCTCTTCAGTCTGAAAAGTTATGTGCCACACTGTAGTAGTATATCAGGCCCGTAGCCAGCAATTTCAAAGGGGGGTGGTCTTTTTCTGAAAAAGTGAACCTTTTACCATATAATCCCCATGTACCTAGGTCAAATTTTACCCAGAGTGGACCTTTTTCCAGCAAAAAGGGGGGTTCAAAAGAACCCCCCGAACCCCCCCTGGCTACGGGCCTGTATATCGTCCTCACTTAAAGAAAAATTATTTGACACTATGATCATACCGGTGGCTACATATGCTGTTGAAGTCTGGGGCTCCTCTAGAATCACCGACAAATCTCCGGTAGAAAAAATCCATTTACGCTTTTGTAAAGAACTCCTAGGTGTACATTCTAAAAGTACAAACCAAGCTGTCAGAGGAGAACT